TAGTTTGTCTTTGCAGCATGTTAAAATAAAATCTCTTCAACTTCTGTCACTCAGAGTGTTAGTATCACTTCTAGTTTTCTTCTGTCTATAAATTTGATAAATATGTTATATGTTTTCATTTATCTTTTATAAAAATCTTGAGAAATTTAGGAATAAAAAAGCCCTGTGATCTGCTGCCTTCTTCCTGTCTCGTAGTGATTTGCCTTATAATTGACATTTAACAGTTTTTGAGTTTTTAACCAGCTGCAAATTTGTCTAACTGTATTAATATTGAATTACCGGGCGCCTGGGTGACTCAGTTGGTTAAGCAACTGCCTTCGGCTCAGGTCATGATCCTGGAGTCCCAGGATCGAGTCCCGCATCGGGCTCCCTGCTCAGCAGGGAGTCTGCTTCTCCCTCTGACCCTCTTCCCTCTCGTGCTCTCTATCTCTCATTCTCTCTCTCAAATAAATAAATAAAATCTTTAAAAAAAAATATTGAATTACCATTTTAAAATTCTATCCATGGGTATATCACAGAAGACTCAGCTACATGCTGGCTGTAGTTAAGTTTCGGTGTACCTTCTGCATTTGCCTGTTCGATCATTCTAGCAGCCTTAGTTAAAACCCCCCACCACCAAAAAAAGGGAAAATGATAAGGGCTTCTACTTCATTTCTTTGATTTATATTTGTATCTCTTATGCTGAAAACCTTAGTTTTTAATGACTTAGATTTTTAATGACATTAGCAATTACTCGCTTTCATCTTCTACTTTTAATAGTTTCAAAATAATAATGCAAATATTACTGAAAATATGTTTCCCTTTATCTCTAGGAGGATATATCCTATTTGAGATCTATTACTTTGCATTGCTGCCATTTGAAGTAATTATAATAATAGATTTTCTGTTATTAAGCCATTCTTGTATTCCTGAAATAAATTCAAGCCCAAAACATTGAGTTTCTTTCCAGGTGGTTAGTCTTGCATTCCTGGGATCTACCTCATCATGGTGTTTTCTTTTTTTTAATCTATTGTTGGCCTCATTTTTCCAACTTTTTATGTTCTACTTAAAATTGTTGTTTTACACTTCAAGCAGAATATAGAAACCTTACCACCATGTAGGTCCCTTTATCTTTCTCCTTTAATACTGTTTTTGTAAGCATTACATCTACATTCATTGATCAGTGTTAAAATTTTTGCTTTCAACTGGCACGTATATTTTAAAGAACTTAAGAGGAGATTAGCGATCTATTACATTTACCTAATCATGTATTATTTCTGTTGCTCTTCCTTTGTACTAGAAGACACGTGTTTTACTCTGATATCATTTTCCTTCTACAGGAAGAACTGTTTTTTAGCATTTCTTTTAGAGCCCATCTACTGGTAACAGAGTCTCTTACTTTTTAAAAATCTGACTATGACCTTATTTTTATGTCATTTCTGAAGGATATTTTCACTTGATGTAGTTTTCCGTGTTGAGAGTTCTTTCATCGTTTTATAAATGTCATTCCACTGTCTTTTGGTCTTCATGGTTTCTAATGAGAAATCCAGTCATTTCAATTATTACTCTATATGTAATATGCCTTTTTTTCTCTGGCAGCTCTCAGGATACTTCTTTTATATTGGTTGTAAACAGCTTGATTATGATGTGTTGTTTTGTGGTTTTCTTTGATTTTATTCTGTTTTATTTTTGCTCATCTTGAATCTGTAAACATGTATCTTTCAACATATTTGTTATATTTTCATGAATTAGAGTTATTATTTCAAATAGGTTTTTTTTCCTGTGACAGTGTTCCTTCTTGATGGGTATCTATGGGTCTGTTCATATTTTTCAGTCTTTTAAAACATTTTAAATATATGCTCTTCAGATTGCATAGTTTCTTTTTGTCTGTTAGGTTCACTGACTCTTTTCCTCTATCATTTCCGTTTTGCTATTGAGCCAAGTCAGTAGTTTGTATTTCAGATACTGCATTTTTCAGTTTTGAAATTTTTATTTGATCTTTTTGTATGGTTTACATTTTTCATCAAGGAATTTTTGTCTTTCCGTTGGTTTCAATATCTAATGCAGTGTGTTTATTCTATATAGCCGTTTTAAGGTCTTTGATAAGTCCAGCATCTGTTTCACTTCACATTTGGCATTTCTTGATTGTCTTTTCCTTTGGGAATTGCTCATATTTTACTGGTTTTGGTGTATCTAGTAATTTTGGATTACATCATGGACATTTTGAATATTGTGTTGTGAGACTGACTCCACTAACATCCTCTAGAGAATATTGACTTTTTTTTTTTTTTTTTTGTCTTATCAGGCATCAGCCTGGTTGGGTTCAGATTAAACTTACTTTCTAGACTTCCTTAGATGGTGGTTTTAGCATCAGTTCAGTTTTCCAGCCTTTGCTATACTCTTATCTTTGTTAGGGATTTTGTACACACTGCTCTCAAGGAGAGGATACTTTTTGTGGTCTCTCTGACTGGAAGGGTGGAGTTGTCCAAGAGTTTTAGTCTCTGGTATTGCACGTATTTTTTCCTGACTGGGCTACTGTTAGGTCTAAGTAGTGAGAGAAAAAATAAAAAAATAAGAAGGATTATCTCTACAATCTTTATATAACAGGGTCCTTTTTTTAATTGTTTATTCAGAAGAAGGGTTTTCACTCAGGATCTTATGTGCCCATGCTACAGCTGAAATGGTGTCCGGTCTGTTCTTGGGCCAAGTTGGAAGAGATCAAAGAGGGAAAAAAAAATCTCTTGGCTCTTTTCCCCACATTCAAGGGGCAATTTTCAAGTCCTTTAGCCAGAAAGTTGGACTTCCCTAACAGTTTTGCTGACCCTACCTGTTACTTATATCCTGCTTCAGCCTGTTCTTGGGTCATCCAGGAAGTAACAGAGTGGGGGAAAACCAGAAGCACACTGCCACTGTATTAATCACTCTTCAGGTTTTGACTGTGCTTCCAAATCTACCTGCCTCATTAAATTTTCTAGAGCTCTCAAGTAGTTGCACGTTCATATTTTGTTTCATTTTGTTATCTTTTAGCGTTTTTATTGTAAATAGTGGAAGAGGCTGGAAACTTCACATTCTTTTTTTGAAATAAATTTTGCTGGATGTAGAATTCTGTGTTGACACTTATTTAAAAAAGCAATGGAAAGTGCTTAGTCCAGATGTTCTGCTTTTATTCTCTTTATTCCTGTGAATGTAATATATATTCTTTTTTTTCCCTTTGGCAGCTATTAAGATTTTCTCTGTATCAGTGCTTTTTTTTCAGCCATTTGATTATGAAAGGCCCTGTGTGATTTCCTAAGTGTTTATCAATCTTCGGATTTATGAAGTTTTCTGGATCAGTGTGTTTATAATCATCATAAAATTTGTAAATTTTTAATCTATTTTTTCAAATGTTTTTTCTATTCCTCTCCTCCTTCTTAATCCCCCTCCTGCCATCCCCAGAGAGGTCATTTTCCTCTCCTTTTTTCACCTTCAATTACATGTATGGTTTTGTTTTTTTTCCAGTTACATGTGTGTTAAATGGCTTTATATTGTTGCATATGTCACTGAGACTTTATTTTACGGTCTTTTTCTTTCACAAACAAAAACTAAAAACCAAACAATTTTTTGTCCATTGTTTTCTTACTACTTCTTTAAATTCACTGATCTTTTTTTCTGCTGTGTCTATGTTCTGTTACCCTTTTTAAGTTAATTTATGAATAATTTACAGAATAAATAGTGAAAACCCACTTTATTAGAAATTTTAATAAGAATTTAAGCACAGCAAACCTCTTATGTCAGGTAAATTTTGGTGCACAAACTTCATAAAAGATGAAAGAATATTGTTACACGTTATTTTAGCAAAATAAGATGATCTAGGTTGTTGCAAAATATTGTGTGATAAAGTCTTCAGTTGAATGAATGACTAGGGGAAAATATTTTCATTTTGTCCTTAAAAATATATTGTTCACTCATAATTTTTAAATTACACAGTATTCATCTAGGATATTATCAACCTGAGATGTCATTTACGTGATCAGTTTCACCACATTTTTAGAGTCTAGAGTTAGAGTTAGCCCTTCCCCCTGCACCCCAAAAAGCCAATCTGTTCTCTGTATCAATGAGTTTGGTTTTTGTTTTTTTGTTTTTTGGGTTTCTTTTGTTTTGTTTTTTAGATTTTACATATAAGTGAGATCATTTGGTATTTGTCTTTCTCTTTCTGACTTATTTCACTTATCATAATGCCTTCAAGGTCCATCCATGTTGTTGCCAGTGGCAGGATTTCATTCCTTTTTATGGCTGAATAGTATTCTCTTATATATACATCTTCTTTGCGAATCTCCTCTTAAATCATTTTAACTACTCATCCCATATTATTCTTCCTTATTGCATTCTGTGGCATTGGCTATAATAACTCAGTTTTTCTGTTACAAATCATAGATAATATATTGTAAATTTGTTTATGATAGATATTTGGATATGCTGTTTATTTTGCCCAGAATATGAAGACCCTTCTGATCCTCCAGTTTGTTTTTAAAATCATGCAGCTGAAATGTGTCACTAGAATTAAAAAGTCCTGTCTGAAAACTGTGGCAGACAAAAGAGTAAGCTGGAAGTATAATATAGATGTCACCTATCTTTTGGTGTGAGAAATGCATGTTTTGATATTCTAATTATGTTCTATTGCCATTTTAACTTTTATTAATCTCTGTTACCAATGTTATTTTTTTCCAATTCCCTGGGGAAGATTTTAGTTTGTATTGAGGCAGATAATATAATAGCTGATTTTGAAACCTGATTATAAGAGTATAATAATTCATATTTCACAGAAAATTTTTTCTTATGCAGTAAAGTATTTGAATTAGGTGAATAGTTTTTCCTTATTCTTAGTAATCAAGACTCAAGTAAGTTATAGTTTTAAGAAGAGATTATTAGTATGTATTGCTGTTGGTTCAGTCAGCATAACCATTAAAATTATAATCTGCTTTTTAAAAACTATTTATACTAAGGGAATAGTCCTAAATCTTTTGTTTTTATTTTTTTTTAAGGCAAGAGGAGCAGATGTTCCAGAGATTCCTGGAGATCTTAGTCTTAAGACATGTGGCAGTACAGCCAGTATGAAGGTTAAACATGTGAAAAAGTAAGTATAATTTTACAGTGGGTTTTAAATGAATTTTTATCAATGAGAGTTGGTTTTTTAGTTCTTAAAACTTTTCTTTAGATTTCTTACTAAATATGCTCTTACTGTCCATATATTTAATTATACTGTAAGGCTAAATTATGACTTAGCAATTAGTGGAATAGATTTGAAGATTATCTACCTGTCTAAAAATATACTTTAATTTTGTTCTTGCAACAACTTTATGTCATTGGCTGTTAGATTGCATTTATTCAACAGGAACAATCCAAGTGTGTCTGTCTTGGTGCCCTTATTACATGCTCTCATTCATTTAGAAAAATCACCTTTTTTGTTTGAATTATGGGATTGCTGTATCTCAGCTCTGCCTTTGAGAAAGCCTGCATTGGATGCTAGTAGTTGACTCTTACATAAAATATCTGAAGGTAAACAGAAATAACATTCCATACTTTCCCACTGAAGCCTGAATACCCCCACCATCCCATTAAGCTGGTATTAAAAAACAAAAACAGAAAAACCATCTTTTCACCTGGTAGAGGGTTAGGCAGCTATGTTTTCATTGTAAATAGAGAAAAGACAAAGATAAAAATATTCATTCTGCATCCAGACCCACTAATCCAGGACTGATGGGCTGCGACAACATTCACAGGTAAAATCTAGTTTTATATTTTACTGGTAATGCTGCTTCTGATTAGAAGTTGGCTCTTCACAGTTTTCATAACATATTCACTGAAATCGTGGATTTTCTGTGGGCCTTGCCTTGGGTCAAGGATAGGAAAGTATAGTCATGCTTTTTAATTTTTTTTTTTTTTTTTGGTTTTGATCTGTGCACTAAATGTAATTTTTGTTGACTCACTGTATTTCTGGAAAGGTTTGTGTGGATATCTGTGTGCTCATGCGCATGTGCTTATTAAGTAGTTTTGCTTGCATGAGCTCTCCAACCCATTTTATTTTTTCCTTAGGGTTAGTAATTTTGACTATTCCAGTATCTTGCATCTCACTTAGTTATTTCATGTACTTCAGGTTACCCTTCACTAAAGGTCACTTTCCGAAGATGGCTGAATGTGCACATTTCCATTATGAGAACGTTGAGTTTGGCAGCATACAGGTATATTTGAAATATTTCCTACATACTGAATTAAGATCTATCTATATCTCTATTCTTTTCTATCTTTTTTTAAATCTACGTACCTGAGAGGTAACACTTAGAAGTAGTTTTTTTCTACTGATGTCTTGGTGGTGGGTGTAAAAACTTTTATTTTCTTCTGTTGACTAATACTTGATACCCAATGACTCCTATTTCAAGTGGAATTGGTATAATAGGATCAGTATAAATCTCAGCATTTCTGTTAGATTCCTAGACAAAGTTTGCCATTGTTTTCTAGCATGAAGCATCCTAGTTATTACCTGACTCTTATGTTGGGTCAGAGTAATGATGGTTAAATCAGAGTAGGAGTGAAGTGGCATGGTGTGGGGGAAATGTACTAATGGAGTTTTTTTTCAATATTTTTTCTTATTGTGAGGTATACTGTGTGTATAAATATATATATGTTTATAAACGTATGCATGGGTGTATATATATATGTTATATACATATATCTGTACATTTTAAAGCCCAGGCTAAGAGATAGGAATTTTCTGGGTGTCTTTACTCTGTTGCATTTGCCTTCTCTACCCTAAAGATTACTTATTCCATGACTTTTATAATATTCATTATAATTTTTTATAGTTTTACTACCTATATCTCTAATCAGTATGGTGGTTTAGTTTGCCTGTTCTTGAGCTTAAATAATTGGAATTATTCTAGTCCATTCAGCAAATACTTATTGAGCAAGTACTCTATACCAGGCACTGTTGTAGGTGCTTTGGCTGTATTAGTGAGCAATAATCACAACCAAAACTGAAGACGCATTCTTAAAGAGCACAGAGGATGGCCAAGAAGATAAGAGCTATGGTAAAAAGGTAGAACATGATAAGAAGGATCAGGGGCACTGGGGATAGGTTGAAATACCGAACCTCGGTAGGCTTCATTATTGAGTGTATTCTTTCTTCTTTCATTTAACATTGTGAAATTGATCCCTGTAGATGTCTGTAGTTATAGTTGGTTCAGTTTGGTACTGTATTAATCTACAGCATGCATATGACACAAGTAATTTATCCGTTCTTTTTTGTTTGTTTGTTTGAAAGATGGGTTGTCAGTTTTGGCCCTTTGTGAACATTATTGTACACATAACCTGGTGCATATATGCAGGAGTTTCTCATGGTATATACCTAGGAATAGAATTTCAGGGTTATAGCAGATCCACATGTCCAGCTTTACTAAGTAAAGCCAAACTACTTTTTAAAGTAATTTATGAATTTATACTCCCCTAAACAGTAAATGAGAGTTGCTATTCTACATCCTTGCCAACTCTTGGTTGTTTGATACTTGTTAATTTTTACCCATCTGTTGGAGATGTGAGTCTCTCGTATTTTAATTTGCAGTCTCCTGATTTCTAATGCAGTTGAGCATCTTTTCACATGTTTATTGGGCATTTGAGATTTCTGTTTCTTAAAACTCTAGATCAGGTCTTTTGCTCATTTTGTTTTATAAGATTTGCTTGTAATTTTCTTATTCATTCATGGGAATGCTTTATATATTTTAGATGTTCTTTCATGTTGCCTCTAGTCCTTTATTGGTTTTGTATATGAGCTGAAAACACTTTTCTCCCACATTGTGGCATGTTATTTCACTCTCTTTATGCTGCTCTCATTATACAGGCTTCATTTATTTTGTTCTTTATTTTATGTATTTTGTGTAGTTGTATGTCTGCAAAAACCTAGCTTGTAGTTTTTTTTTTTTAAAGATTTTATTTATTTATTTGACACAGGGGGAGAGAGAGAGAGTGTGTGCAAGTACAAGCAGTGGGGAGTGGCAGGCAGAGGAGAAGCAGGCTTCCCCCTGAGCAAGGACCCTGATGTGGGGCTTGATCCCAGGACCCTGGGATCATGACCTGAGCCAAAGGCAGCCAGTTAACCGACTGAGCCACCCTGGTGCCCCAGCTTGTAGTTTTTCTGTCATATTAAAGATGTGCTCTGAAGTTATGAAATTGTCTTATTTTTTTTTTCTGTAAGTTTCATAATTTTGACTTGAACATTGAGGTTACTTGGAATTCATATTTATAGTGTGAAAAAGAGTGATATTAAAAGCCCCTAGTATGACAAGCAGTCAGAATGGGTATTAACCTTTGCAGTAGAACTGAGTGCTTATGGCCTTCTCCTGTGTGATGCATTGCCCCTCTAATTGTATAGATCATTGATGGTCCACTATTTCAGTATTGTGGTACCCACCAGTCTTTTTTGAAAGGAGTCTAGGGGCATCTGGGTGGCTCAGTCTGTTAAGCCTCTGCCTTCAGCTCAGGTCATGATCCCAGGGTCCTGGGATTGAGCCCTACGTTGGGCTCCCTGCTCAGCGGGGAGCCTGCTTCTCCCTCTTCCACTCCCCCTGCTTGTGCTTTCTCTCTGTCAAATAAATAAATAGAGATAGCACAGAAGCAAGGGGAGAGGCAGAGGGAGAGGGAGAAGCGGGGCTCAATCCCAGGACCTAGCGATCATGACCTGAGCTGAAGGCAGACGCTCAACCATCTGAGCCACCCAGGTGCCCCTAAATAAATAAAATCTTTAAAAAAAAGAAAGGAGTCTATTTATTATTATTTAAAAATATGACTGTATTAGAGTTCTCTGGTGATACAGAACCAGTGTGTGTGTGTGTGTGTGTGTGTGTATGTGTGTGTATGTGTGTATGTGTAGAGAGAGGGAGAGAGAGAGATTTATTTTAAGGAATTAGTTCATGTGATTGGAGATGTGGTTAAGTTCAAAATCTCCAGAATAGGCTGAAAAGCAAGGGAAGGGTTGATGTTGCAGTTTGAGTCCAAGGGCAGTCTGCTGGTAGAGAGCACTCTTCAAGGGAGGTTAGTTTCTTTTTTTCTGTTAAAGACTTTCAGCTGATTGGATGAGGCCCACCCACATCATGGAGGACAATCTGCTTTACTCAGTCTGCTGACTTAAATGTTAATCTCATCTAAAAAAATGACTTCACAGAATTATTTGGAATAATGTTTGACCAGAAGTTAATGTATAAAATTAATAATCATAGTCCACTCTGCCAACTTGGCATTCCTTAAACCGTACTGCGTCTCTGATAAATAAGAAGGTCATGCTTATACCTAACATCATGATCAACTATTTTTCACAACCAAAAACATTCTAAGCATTTTCCCAGAAGAGGATACAAAGTTCTTGAGTAATTTACTCTTCTTGATATCCTATAACTTAAATACTATTATGTAAAGTTAAAAATACTTAAGTACCATGATATAAATCTTACATTACATAAGGTGATAAGAGAGAAGAAAACAAAGATATTTACTATGACACACAAACACATGCACACACACACATTCAGAGCAAAATAAGAAGATAATACTCATGGCAGTTATAGTCTTGGCTTGTGTAACTGGTCATGTGGCTGTAGCTGGTGTTATAACTGCCTTCTTCTGCTTCTCATTCTATATTCCCTTTGTCCTGAGCAAGAATCTCAGTTGGTTTTGGTTCTTTACCTGGTGGGATGATCCCTACCTTAATTCCGGGTCTGGCTATTGATAGCCCTGCCTGAATTGGGTTCTGGTAATCTCCCATTGTGTTCAGTGGCAGGGCAGTGATAGTAAGCGATGTCCTAAGGGAGCTCCAGTATTCCAGATGTGTTGTTCTTTAACCTGTATTTTAGAGTAGCAGTCCAATTTCCCCTGAGTGGTCAGGATCAGTCATCCCAGCTAACGCCAAAACTCACATCTTTGCCTATCGATTTAGAGGCATAAGGAGCCCAAAGTGCCTGGGTGGCAGGGTTACTTCCAGGTCAATGGAGTTGTTATTTTGTCTTCTGGTGGAAGCATTCCTCCCTTTGGAACTAAAACGTCTAGGGTAGTAGAGCATACAGCTGTGGGGACAGGAAGCACAAATTTTGCTAGTAAGTCACTATGAGTCATATTGAGAGGTCTCACTCCAATTCCCACCCCTTATTCCTGGTTTCCCCAATCTGATTAGCTTTAAAGATGCTCTGTTTGCAATAGTAAAGAGAGGATGGATAGTCCATGGCATGATGGGGCAATAGAGATACACAAAATATCACCACTGGATACTTAAAATCAAATGCTTATAGGAGATGAAGTTCTGGTGACCGTATATTTGAGATCTTTGAACATTTTCCCATACTGATGAGTAAATTGAAATTTTCATTTCCCTCATGATTAGTGATGTTGAACATTTTTTCATGTGTTCATTGTCCATTTGTATATCTTTGGAAAAATGTCTATTCAAATCCTTTACCCATTTTTGAATTTTTTAACTTTTTTATTGAGTTTTAGGACTTCTCTTTATAACCTATTTGTATCTTTTGATCTAAAGGTAGTTTTCTAGATGGCATATAGGTAGATTATGTTTTTTAAATTCATTCTATCATCTCTCATTTTTTAATTGAAGTATAATTAACATGCAGTGTTGTTAGTTTCAGGTTTACAACATTTTGATTAAACAATTCTATACATCACTCAGTGCTCACCACAGTAGTGTAGTAACCCTCTGTCAGCCAACAATGTTATTATAATATTGACTATATTTCCAATGCTGTACTTTTCATTTTCATGAGTTATTTTATAACTGAAAGTTTGTACCTCTTAATCCCCTTTATCTATTTCACCTATTCCCCCCACCTACCTTCTCCCCTCTGGGCACCATCAGTTTGTTCTTTATATTTTAGAATCTGTTTGTTCATTTCTTTCTGTTTTTTAGATTCCACATATAAGTGAAATGATATGGTATTTGTCTTTCTCTGTCTGACTTACTTCACTTAGTGTACCATCCTGTAGGTCCATCCATATTGTTGCAAATGGCAAGAACTCATTCTTCTTTTTATTGTTGACTTATATTCCATTGTATGTATATATGTATGTGTATATATGTGTATGTGTATATATATATAATTCATGTGTTGGTGGATAATTGTGTTGCTTCCATATCTTGGCTATTGTAAATAATCCTGCAGTAAATATAGGGTTACATATATCTTTTTCA